TAATTCTTGTGAACACGTGAACAATAATAAAGAACGGTGAAATAGGCGGCTTGACCGACCAATATTAACAGTTAGTGAAAAAGGCAGTGTAACCAACTAAGCAAAATAAAAATGAGCGGTTTTACCAGCCACGTAAAAGGAAAAATAAATAATAAAGTGACACCAAATTTTACGTGAAAAAGCCCCCAAAAACTATAAAGGGAAAAAAACACGGGGCAAACTTCGAAGAGTATTCCATTATATGATAAAATTATACAGAGTATACACTCAAATATTTTTCTCTCTTGGTGTTTCCCACTTTCCCATGATATGATCACAATCCTGATAAACTCACAATTTTATCACTCAATGTACTCTCTCTATGAAGCACACTCACTCTTAAGCTTACTGCCTAACTTTCACCCCTTTTTTTTTTTCACCTGAGCTCTCACTTTGCTTACTTTGGTGCTGCACTCTTGCTACTTACTTTCTTGCCCCATTGCCTTGCCATTGCATGGGTATTTATAGATGGAGAAACCAACCACCCATGCAATTTTTCTTTACCTCATTAAATGAGATTTATCTGTAATGATTGAAATAACCATTGTAAATATTCAACAATGGCTGCTGTAGCTTATAGCCTTTTGCAATAGGATGGTAGAAATGGGGTTGGACTTTCATGAGCTAGAACTGGAAGCTTCTGCCAATAGAAATATCAACAGCAAACTCTATAGAATCACCCATGTCAGGACTCCTATAGAAGTTGCCAATTGGTTTGGTAGCCAAAACAGCATTTGGATAGTATATTTTCTCATTGTCATATTTCAAAAAGACAATTGTCAGAAGATTCATCTCTTCAACAATCATCTATAAGGAATTAATATGTCAAGCTAGATAATCTTCAAGTAACATAGAGAAACACATGAGCTATGAGATTTGAGATTTACCTGTACTCCATCAATGACACAACGATCATTGACATCAAAGGGGTAGACCAAAAATACACATATGATTGCTTCAAATACAGTCTTCAGAGTGTTGCCAAACATGAATGCCACGAGCAAAAGCTAGGATGAAATGAAGAGAAGTACTTTGGTTGTTAAAACTTGTTGACTCAATGCACTCCAAGAGGGGGGTGAATTGGAGTTGGAGAATTTTCGCCTCTTTGCAACCACCACACAAAAATTAAAGAGAGAGTTGAGAAGAAAAGCTTGCACAATGATTTTATAGAGGTTCGGTCCAGCCACTTGGAGCCTAGTCCTCTACCTTGGCTTCACTCACCAAGGATTTCCTCCACACTCTCCACTAGCAAAAACAATGGTGGCTTAAAGGAGCCACTCAATCCTTTACAAGAAGAAGGGTTTCTCTCAAATCTCACCCCTTTACACTTAAACCCCAAAGATCCTCTCTTCAGATCACTCTTGAAGGAATCAACACATCCCCAAGATCACTCACTAATAGCACAAGAAGAGGATTACAAGTAAAGATCTCTCAAAGATCAAAAACTCAAGTTAAAGCTCATGTAGGTAGGTAAAGATATTCAATACAATACTCTCTAACCCTCTTCAGATCTGTTACCAACCATAATTATACCCCCTTGCTCGAAAATAACTGTTACTAGCCGTTGGAGGTCATTAAATGCTCTGCAGGACTCAAAAGCCGAGTTGCAGGATTGTCAGGAGAGCCGATTTAACATTCTAGAGCCAGCTCTACAGAGCCGGCTTACACTTTCAGAGCCGGCTATCCGGGCTTGCAGACCATTCTGTTTTTTTCGAGAGCCGGCTACAAAACTTTGAGCCGGCTTTGCAACTCCGACTTTAAATACATTAATAATCTTCAAATGACTCGACCGTTGTGCATTAAATGCACCCTCACAGCTGACTTCAAAGCGAGAGCCAGCTTTGCGTCTTTTCTCCGCGCGCGCCAACCAACAGTCTTCAAACTTTTGCCCGTAGAGCCGGCTGCAGCTTCCAGAGCCAGCTGCAGCTTCCAGAGCCGGCTCTCTGCCCTTCCATTTCACCAGAGCCGGCTGCAGCCTTTAAGAGCCGGCTCTCTGCACATTTTGAATCCTTTTGGTCTATTTTTAGTACAATCCAAGTTTACTTGCAATGTTTTAGCAACTTAACTACACACTTAAATAAACCAACTAATCACTCAAATATGTTTTGTAATCATCAAAATCATAGGTACAACAAAACTCCCATTATAAGTAACCAAGCAATGACGATCACAATAAGATAACCCTAGAGGAAAGCCTATTGAGCTCTTCAATTGATGTCTTTGAGTCTTTCAGGGAACATGCCAATGCTTTGCGTTCGTTGTAAACATTCAGCTGCAAGCAAGGAAAAAAACTAATTAGAAAACTCCACCAAGGTATTGCCCTAGGATTAGATGTTGTTTTCGAACTTCGCAATCACCATCCACAGAAGCGCAAAAATTATTCTACTTCTATTGCATCAAGGTTGTCTACACTTTTGCAGGAATTTTGAAAGGAACATACTAATTAAGAGATGTATAGAAGCTTGTGCTTATGGAAGATGTAAAAGAAGAACAATATATGATAAAGAACATTTATCATATACTATTGCATCAAGGTTTCTTGAGATTTATTTTTTTTCAATTGCATAACAATTTCTTTACACTTAGATGTTAATTAAGGTCTAAATAGAAAATATTTCATTTTAATTAAATAAATTGATAGGCTATAGTATGGACCCTAGATCCTCCTTTCTAAAATCTATAATTTGAGAAGTAAGCACGCTCAATTTTCTTGATTTCTTGTGTATTTTTACGTATTGTAGTACTAAAACTTGTTCTTGAAATTTTTATAATCCTTAGTTTTTCTTGTTGCTCAAGTCATTTTTCCAAATCTTGCATCCTAATCTTGAATTTCAATGAGTTTTTCATATTTTGACTCAAAGGAAAATTGAATGAAGGGAAGGGTGGCTCAACCAAGCACAGGGGTGCTGACCGAGCCAGATCGGATGAACGGGGTACCCAACACAACACATGACCTAGTGCACCGGGACACCACAGGGCTAGGGCCATGCAAGGCCCCAAACCTTCGACACTGCAACACTAGCGCACTTCGACGATGGGAGGCCACCTCACGTTAATAAAAAATAATAATTAATTAATTATTAATATAAAAATAATACTAAAAACAAAGGAGGCTGCATCATGAATTGAACATGGCACAGGAACCAACACGCTGATTCTGGTAACAGAGGTGTTGACACATATTGGGCTTAAAAAAATAAAGAAGAAAAAGGAGTTAGGGTGCTGTTCATTGTAGTAATATCAGTGTGGTAAATTGACACAAGTGTCCGCTAAAATCTACTTTTAGTTTTTTACTTTAATAAATTTGTAAGTTTTAATATATTATCTTATATTCTGATAATTTTAACCCTTTACCTTAATAAATTTATTGGTTTTAATCCCTCACCTTATAGTATGACATTTTTAATCCCTCATTTATACGAATTGAAGAAAATAATCTTTACTTAAGATCAAATTATAACGTTTTATTAATTTTGTTAGCTGACTGTTAGTGTTCCATTATCATTCCATTAATAAAACTAACAAATAAAATTGAATTTAAATTTCATGTTTTCTATAATGGAATGCTAACAGATGCTAATAGTCAACTAACAGATGCTAACAATCAGTTAACAAAACTAATAGAACGTTATAACCTGATGTTAACTAAGGGGTATTTTCTTCAATTCGTATAGGTGATGGGTTAAAAGTATCATAGTATAAGATGAGAAACTAAAACTTACAAACTTATTATGGTAAAAGGTTAAAAGTATCATAATATAAGGTGAAATGTTAACATTTACAAATTTATTAAGGTAAAAGGCTAAAAATAAGTTTTTCCCAATAGTGTCAACATCCCCAATGCTAGTCACAAAACAAGTTTAAATGTACCTATTGAGAAAATTAAATAAAAATATTATTAAATAAAAAATTAATTAAATTAAATTGGGGTTAAAGGTAAATTTGTAATTTTATAATTGATCCCAAATTTTAGCTTCTTATTGTCTTATGTAAATTTTAGATTTTTAATTGTTTGCTTGTCCCAACTTTAAGATTTTATCTTGTAGTTATATTTTCTTTCCATTCGAGATAAATAAATTGTTATACCCTTCATTTTAAATTATAGTTTTAAAAAATAATTTCTACTAATTTTCAAATGGTGGGAATTAAAAATTGTTTTTATTTAAAGAACAATTTCTACTAATTCTAAGATGGTGGAGATTAAAATACCCATTTTTATTTAGATATCATGATTAAATCTTGTTTGATTTTAAGTTGGATTTTGTTTGGTTAAACATGTCTATTTAATGGAAATTAATTTGAAATATGCTATTTAATATGTGAGATACCTATTTTCTTGAAGTGAGTATATTTACTTGATATGTACATATTAGCGTGTTTTAATCTCTAATATAGTCATGTTTTACTTATTGCTTGCCAATGAGACACTACAAGAAAATCCATATTTAGTGACTAAATTATTGATCATTAAATCTTTATTTTTCGTCACAAATTATTATTAGTAATAAAATTTAAATCATTAGTAAAACCCTTGTCACTAATATTAAAACATAATATAGGTGAAATTTATTGTTAATATTTCAAATTTGTTACAATTGTGATAAATTATAGTGACAAATTTTATCATTGCAAGCTTATATTTTATCTATGCCTATTTTTTAATAACAAAAAATAGTTTTAGTAACGATTTATTTCTTCATCATTGAATACATAGGTATTAGTGACCATCATTTGAAATTTGTCAACATTATGAGGAATTGTAATGATGATTTTATTCATCACAAGTCAATATTATCTTTATGACAATTTTTCAATAATGAAATATATTTTTAGTGATGATTTTTTTATGTTATTGTTGAACATTTGGTTATATGTGACTAATATTAAAATTTTATCATAATTGTAATGAATTATAGTGACGATTTTTATCAACAAAAACCTATTTTATCTCTATAAACATTTTTTGGTAAAGAAATATATTTTTTATGATGAATTTTTTTCTTCATTATTAAATATGTGTGCATCTGTGACTAATTTTTTAGATATGTCATAATTATGATAAATTATAGTGATAATTTCAAAATTCATCACAAATTTCTGTCACTAAAAACCTTTTTTCTTATAGTGAGAGGTTTATAAATACTGAAACATAATCAACGTGTTACTTATAGAATAGATTTATTCTTGTTATACTTGTTATCCTACTAGTGGGTGTGACACTAGTAATCTTGATGCTCACTAGTGGGAGATTTATAAACGCTAACCATGACTTATAAATAAAACATCTATTTCATTACTTGTACCTATTTACTTTATACTTGATTTGAGCTTGTTGGCATGCTTAATTAAAAATAAAAAGGAAACTGGATATTCATTTACTGGAATTATATCTCATATTATTTTCTTATCTACTATTTGAGGTAATGATGTTAGGGACACTAGATATCAAGGGCGTATAACGGTTCCATATTAGATATGATTTGGACTTCGTTGAGACTTGGATTAGTTTTTGGACTTATTTATCAACATTAGACATTTAGAGAACCTAAGTATTATTTATTTCATAATTTGACCTTGTGACATTTATTTAGATTCCACTTAAATTTTAACAATATTTTAAGGTATTTTCAAACTTTAAATATTAGTTTATAAACCATCCACATATAATGTAATGGGCAATTCTCATTTGCTTCAAGAGTTATTAAATAAATGGCATCAGAGCCCCAACAAACTTACCTCTATTTATCAATATTAGATATTTGGAAAGTCTTTTTTTTTTTTTTTTTCAAAATGTTAGGAAATCTAAAAAATTAACAGTAGCCAGCTAGGCCCAAAATTCTAGTCTCCCCTAAGGAATCCTATGTGAGAGAATTGGTCCGCCAGCAATGGTTAGGAAGCGCGGTCCCCACATGGGTTTTCCGGTGTCAATAGGGTTAGCATTGAGAACTGGTGTCAATAGGGTTACTACAAAATGTTTTCAGTCAAGAGTGACAAATATTTTTCTCAATATAGTTGATATATGAACCTAGTATTGGCTAATTATTTAGTGATTTGTGAGGTTCTTTTCTCATATATTGTATTGTCTAGGTGAATATCTAGGGAAGCTAATTATTTTCCCTACTTAGAGACAACTTCCTCTTTTTTTTATAACAGGAGACAATTTCAATTCTGTATATTCAAGTTGCAATGATGGATTGTCATTATATGTGACATCCAAATTTTAAATTAACTGAATGTAATGCAGGGTTGGCTGAAACTCATCGTTAGGGATGGAATAGAGCCTATAGAGTGCTATAAAAAACAGTCGTATGGCAATCCTAGGGGACCCAAGGCATATAACAATATAGGTTGTGCACTTGTGTGGCCTTTTTTTTTTTCAGTAAAAATTAGGCATAGGTTGATATGTTGGCTTAAACTTTAATATTTTACAATTTAAATTATAAAACACTAATTATTAAATAAATATATTCTTTTATCATTATCAAGGAGCCACTTCTAATATAACTGTTAGTGTTTTGCAATTGGAGCTCTTTAAACTAGTGCAAAACGCATTTTTGTTCGGCTTATCACCATCAAAATTGCGAACTGAACTAATTGACCGAGTTAACTTCGAAAATGAGATCCCTTTTTGAACCTGGGAGATAGCAAGTGGGTCACTATTGGGCCGGATCATCCTTGGACCGACAGTCCCAGTTTCATCAAACTGAGACTGTAACAGGGCCGCCACATAGGCGGGTCGGTCCTAACCTCCTTTTTTTTTTTTGCCGGCACTAACTAGTACCTGCTTCCCATACGACATGTCTAACATCAAACATGAAAATTAAAATTTTAGCACTTTATCCATTAGATGAGACAACTTGTCCACATAAGGGCAAATATTATGTTAAACAAAACAAAGATGGAATTAAGCACTTTCTGATCTAGGCAAACATATCCCCATCAGGAAAAGACCTTAGCAAGCATTTCAGTTTGCATGTTGCTATATTGGCCTCCCAATCCGCATGGTCCCAGGCAAACTTATCAAGGCAGCAGCTCAGCGAGGGAGGGGTGGAAATCCCAGCCCGATGAGCTGTGCTTGTAGAGGCAGCATATGGTATTTAATGTGCAGATCTTCCAAAATTGTCTTCAACTCTAAGATTAGATCAGACCGTCGGGCATTTCTCTTCACATAGTTTTGAAAGTTCATTTTGTGAGTGAAACAGAAAGCCATTTTCATCTTGTTCACATCATCAAAGTCTTTAACCACCACGCTATGTTGAGGTTGCCAAAATTCGGAGTTCTCCTTCAAATATCTGAAATTCAAGGGTGAAAATAATCTAGTAAAAAGTACATAACAAGAAACAAGGGAAGAGAAAAGTAAGGATTCACATAATTTTCAATTTTTTCTTTAAGAGCTTTAATTTGGTCTACTGTTGTGGAAATATCAACAGCAAGCTCTATAGAATCACTCATATCAGGACTCTTGTAAAAGTTGCCAATTGGTTTGGTAGCCAAAACAGCATTTGGATAGTATATTTTCTCATTGTCATATTTCAAAACGACAGTTGTTAGAAGATTCATCTCTTCAACTACCATCTGTAAAGAATTAATATGTCAAGTTAGAAGTAAGATAATCTTCAGGTAATATAGAGAAAAATATGAGCTATGAGGTTTGGGATTTACCTGTACTCCATCAATGACACAACGATCATTAACATCAAAAGGGTGGACCACAAATACAAATATGGTTGCTTCAAATACAGTCTTGAGAGTGTTGCCAAACATGAATACCACAAGCAAAAGCTGAGATGAAATGAAGAGAAGTACTGTGGTTGTCAGAACTCCCATTATAAGTAACCAAGCAATGATGATCACAATAAGGATAACCCCAGAGGAAAGCCTATTGAGCTCTTCAATTGCTGTATTCGAGTCTTTCAGGGAACATGCCAATGCTTTGCATTCGTTGTAAACATTCAGCTGCAAGCAAGGAAAAACTAATTAGAAAACTCCGCCAAGGTATTGCACTGGGGCTGGATGGTGTTTTCCAGCTTAGCAATCACCATCTACAAAACAGCAAAAATTATTGTACTTCTACTACATCAAGATTATCTACACTTTTGTAGGAATTTTGAAAGGAACATACTAATTAAAAGATGCATGGAAACTTGTACTTATGGAACATGTAAAAGAAAAGCAATATATGATAAAAAAATAAAAAAAATAAAAACTTACCAGCCATTCCTTTAAATCCTTTTTCTTGATCTCTTCACCTTCTGCTTCTCCTTTAATTAGTAGGAAAACATCTTCGACTTCCTTCTCATCAAAGTAGGGCTGGAGATCCTCTTTTTTGATAAATTTCTCAGACATGTGACACCTATATAATCAATTGAACAAGGACAATTAGTCACACAATTCCAAAACAAACAAGCTATAGAGTCAAATAAAGGAATTGTAACCATCAAACCATAGACACACATATATTTATATATTCTTACTCAATATCAGTTGTGTAATTTCTGGACACTTTGTTGAAAATCCTGTTAGCAGCTTTCCTTGCTTCATCCTCACTTGGGATTTTCTTATCTTTCTGCTCATCATCATCATCTGCAACAATAGACAACTTGGAGGTACTTATGACATCAACAAACTCTTTCATGGTCCAAGCTGAGGTTTTCTCCTGCTTCATTTTCCTTAGCCACTTAATCAGCTCCTCTCTTTTACCTTTCTTTTTCCTCCTTAACTCAGAAAACATTTGGGAAATGCTTGTACTTGTACCACTATTATCTCTAGATGGAGACCCAGAGAGAACCTCAACAACATGTTGATGAAAGATTGCTTCTTTAATCCTATCGAAGAATCTTTTACACTGATAATGAGCAGCTACTGTCTTAACAAATAGAGTTTTCAACAGCCATAGAAAATGCTCCAAGAAGACAAGAAGCAAGACCCCTGGTAATGTCATTCAGAATATCTGAGGTTTCCTTTGGTCTTTTAACTCCATGTTTAACCAACAGTATCCAAACCACAAGAACCAAACACAACCACACGAAAAATCCAACACTTTTTCTAACCCCAAAAACAAAATACAGAACCTTTTCATTGCTCACATACTTCCTTCTAATCAAGAACACTACAACATTCATCGCCCATCTAGTTAAAAGCCTACCACAGAAAAAATAACCAAAACTAACACACACCATTTCCACAGTTCCAATCCCCAAATTAAATCATTTTCAAACTTGTGTATAGTTAAACTAACAATTAAGCACCCCACAAAGCATATAAATACAACCCACTCAACTATCATTGAAAATGTCCATTTACCCAATATCTTACTTGTTTCAACATTAGTATTTTCATCATCTGCATCATCATCTGCATCATCATCCCCTGCTTTTTTCGAAGTCCCTCTAGGAGTGCTGACTTTATTGCTTCCAGTTCTCGAGCTTGAATCCCGCTCCATCATCCTCGATTTTGACTTTGAAAGAGAAGACCTCCGCTAGGATTTTCTTGGAGTTTTGGGAGGTTTCTCTGGCTTTGGACCGACAATCTCTTTAGAAGTAGAAGAAATTGGCAAAGTGGGGACTTGGCCGCCTCTGTATCTGAGATTCTCAGGTTGTGCTAACTCCAGATTCCTTTGAGAAGAACCCACTAGGATGTTCACTGAAAAGGAAGGAGAGGATGATTCTGCCATTGAAGAAAGAGCTTCAGCATTTTCCCTTTCCTTCCTTACCGCTTCTTCTTCTTCTATTTTTGACATGTGCAGCGCCACATCATTTGCTTCGTTTATTTTTCCAGATTCCATGAAAGGAAAACAAAAATTCTTCTACTTTCTAGGGAAACAAGCAGACTCAAAAACTACAAATGGGTTTTGCAGAATGAAGAGTAGAGGAAAACCAAAGGGAAACCAATGTGAGAAAGGAAGGTGAAACGAGGAAAGCATCCAAAGGTTTGAGCGTGGTTTGCGTCAGAAGGTGCTCAGTGCCATAGCTAGCTAGTAATCATGAATCACCTTCTGCATAAACTTGAACATTAGCTCACGGAGATTTAAAGAAACGTAAATGTCATTTTCAGTCCAGTTCTGCTTGCATTTCGGGTTTTTTAAATTTTTCGTATTTATAAAGAATATATTGATAGAATGGCCGCTCTGGTGCACTGACATGGCATATACTTTTTATGGGACTTGTTCCAGTCTCATAGAATTTTTTTTTTAAATAATTTATAAATAATTTCAATTTATTTAAAAATATATATATTAATCATACTTTAATAACTCCTAAATAAAAGATTTTTTATATAAAATAAAAATTAATTTTAAATTTATTAATTATTTAATTAAAATTATATATATTATATAACACTGATGTAAAAAATAAAAAATATTTTATTTTATAATTTAAATTATAAAATAAAAATTATTAAATAAAAACAACATTTAATATTAAAGAATAATCAACCATCTATCTAGTATTTTAATAAAAAAATTACGATAAGCCATGTGGCGGTGCAATTTCTCATTCTTAAATTTCCAAGACAAGTTGGCAAGTGCGAATGCATTGTCTAACTAGTAAGTCCAAGGATGAGCAGTGCTAGGGGCACTCGCCTCCTGCACTCTCCAGCCAACACATGCTTTTTTATTGGGCCACGTAAGCTTACGTCGGCTATGAAATGATTAACTCTCCTAAACCAGCATAACGTGGCCCAATGACAATGGAAGTGTTGATTGGAGAAGTGCAAATGGCGAGTGTTCCTAGCATTGCTCTCATTTAGAAAGGAAAAGGATTTTTAGTTGTCTTTTTTTTCTATTAATTTTCCGATTTCCAATAACAATAATTGATATCGAGTAATCTAAAATCAAATTCTATCAAATTTCATTTGGAAAAACTCTTTCAGTATCTGTTTTTTTATTTATAAGAT